ACCTGCAGGCTTTCGAATTTTCTGTGAGAGGACCAACTGTTTGCGTTGCAATTAACATTAGTCTCTAACGTAGTCCAATTGGTCCCTTCTGAGGTGTTCCCCGTGCCTAATAAAATCAGAGAAGAGCTAATGAGGGGAGGAGCAGTTGTATTTTTTCAGTTGAATGACAAATTATGCTTAAAAACTACTTTGATACCTCCAATCCCATGTGCTGCGTAAACCTTTCCTTCGGGTAGGCATATAATATTGCCGGCAAAGACATGGGAGACTGGAATGGTCATTTCTATCTTCTTAACCTTCGTCAGTGTGCAGTATACTGTCAGACTTGTTGCACGCTTGGTCCTTTTTTTGTTCGAGTGCATATGCACTTTTACCTTACTAGTCCAACTTACGTGGTGTTGGTGGATGGTACATATTGACTCATGGAAAGCGCTTGGCAGCCAATGCTTAGTTTGCGTGCCGAACATGCGTGTGGCCTGCGTTCGACGAATTCTGTTGCCACGTCAGCTACTCACTTCATCATCAGTCAGCCGGCAGTGTATGGGAGAGGGAACAGCGAGTCACGCAAATCCTGAGAACTCCCCCTCATGGACACCACTCTATCACCTTCGTCACTACCGATAAAAACTAGCAGGAGAGTTGTAGTTGCCAGTTGAGAAGGATGCGATACCTAGCTGTATCTGGAAGCCAATAAAGCAGGGTTCGTCCCTACTAGAGTTAATTAATTACCGAGTTACAGGGCAAGACAGGTGGCGAGTTTTGATTAGGTACCTATGATCATCTGCCAGCTCCCGTCTGTAAATCAGCTGCATCCTGCGTCTGCGCTTGTTTGTGTTTCCAAACTCACGCACCGGTCCGGAAGACGATTGGCTGAAGGCATATATAATCGATCCTACCACTGAACTATATTCTCCCTACCATTTGCTATCCTTGCTTGGCAAACTTCGACCTGGAAGGTGGTGGCCTGTTCGTTATATCTGCCATCACCCTTCCGTCATATTTCTTTGTAATTACTGCTGGTTTTCGATTCCGAAGAGGTTCACATGGTTCTTGAAATAGTGGTGAACACTTTACGAATTCCAGTATTTTCAGGTGATTGTGCATCAATGAGGATTATGTTATAGGTGTTTACCAAAACCTTCAAAATAAGGTAGTTCTAAAACGTATCTGCCTAAATAGTGAGGTTTGGGCATCCTTTCTTAGGCAGCTATCTATGTCGGTCATGATTCTAGAATGACTCAAACATATCAACTCATTGCCAAGATAATGAACGTCCAACACGAAAGCACCACTTAGTGTACCTAAGATAAATTTAAAAATGTTCTGTAACAAGTTACTTCTTGAAAAAGCGTAGTAATTAGATATTCTGACGTCGAATATCTGCGTACTTTATCTTTTTTGAAGTTTAAGTCAAGATAAAAATAGGAAAGTATGAGGTTGTGTACGGTCCTCATTTTAGGTCGGTAAAATAAAAGATAGCCTCGCAAGTTTCTTAATTAATTTACTAGCACGAAGGTTAGCCGATTTGCAAAACAGAATGCTTTTAAGCTGAATCCCCTCTTCTTCTCCTGAATAAAGTGCGAGTTCTCATACTGTAATTTGTCCGAGTCTGATGAAGAAAAAAAATATTTTCCTGTTTCTGAAAAGATACAGTTAAAGCGGTTCCGGCCTATATGAATGTTCTTTTAAAATACCACACATATAAACGGGACTTTTTGAACCCCAGCGTTTAATAGCGTAGGCAATTCCTTGGCCGAAGGTATTCCACTGAGCTGAAGCGAACTCTTTTCTAGTAAACAACATTTTGTGCCTCAAGCCAATTCCATGAACAAAATTAACACCATCAAATGTGTGTTAAACCGCCCCCTACTCAAATGTCGATCTGCAAATTCCATGAGTCGGGCAATCTATATGCATCTATACGCATTGGAGAGGTATTTCTTGCATGCTCCGCAGTCGTTTTCTTTCCTAAGGATGTTCTTGTTGCTGTATTTCAGGATTCGAGTGCCGGATACCGCCAGCCCTACGCCTCCACACTTCCTATCCCGACCCCCACCTCTGCCCTTCCGAACCAGCCGACTGTTCAACAGCGTCAGCATCATCATCAACAGCACCAGCCTTCCAACAAGCAAAACGACCAGGAACTAACGGTGGAGGACTTGCGGTCCATCGTCAATCGTCAGTTGACGAACATAGAGGCTCAAAAGAAGGACATTTTGAAGAAGACCCAGCGGATCAACGAGCTGCGCTCCAAGTTGAAGCCCATCCTCGCCATGCCAGCTAGCCGCACCACCCACTCCGCGACGGACTCACTTCCACCCATGTATAAGGTAAATTCAGTTTTTTTGACGCAATGAACATCTAACTCAGCTGCCTGCCTGTCTGTCTACGCAGTGTGTTTGACCTGGAAGACTTAATGAAGGTTCAGAACAAGATCCTAAAAGACCAATTCACTTTCGAATTGCAGGAAAACTCGTTTGTTCACCGGCAAGACAGTTCACTAACAAACCAGGGTATGCTTAAACACGGGAAGGTGTGAATGAAAGTCGCCTGAAAAATAATCGTCCTCTTTGTCCTGGCCGCTTATATGTTTACAGTATTGACGCAGCGTTTGACTGCAGTTCAGACCTCTGTTATCATACCTCCATGTGACATCGGATATTGGCGTTATGGAGGTTCACCGCAGCTGGGAG